AGAGTATGGGTAAGTATAAACAGTCAAAGTCAACAGTAAGTATGTGTTCTGAACATCTTCATAGGGTCACATTCGCTCTATGCGCCCTTTCAGCTCGGGCGATCTTCGGTCCAAGTACGTCCTGCTGAGTGTATAACTTATCGACCGCACTCATGCTGAACAATTCAAACCAGGAAAGCGCCTTGTCACAGGGTCCCTCCGTGCGATTGAAGGACGATGTTCCGGACACGGCTCTTGTGCTGCTTGCATGGGTATCGTTCGTCAATCGCATCGATTTTGAGGGGTCCGCGTTTTCTGGATTATATTGGTCCCTAAATCCATCCTCCATGGAGTCGACAGGGAAAGCCCCCATGGTCGTCCCTGCACTTCGGACGGCCTGCTTGGCGGTCCAACCCTTGGATGTCTTTCAAGTACAACTTTCCGACGACATAGATGATGTCGACAACGAGACGCCAGATCAAGCTATGTACCAAGCAGGTTATCGCGGCAACAAAAATCGGCGGGCCGTTCCCATCGTCGTTGTGCGATATGCAACTGCGCTGCCGAGTCTTGGGTTGCAGAAGGTACCCAGATTGTTGTAATATGCCACGTTATTTACCCACATTGCGTAGAATGTCAAATCATTAATCGACTTCGCGAAAATCGGCAACATTGGCCCTGTGGTTGGTAGCCATTTCACTCCAACTCAGCTCGTGCTGTTCTCGCATGTGCTGTGGGTTCATTTATCAGCCTCTTTGTCTTTTTCCCATCTCCGTCGCCAGGGACTCGAATAACCGCCGGTTGTCTCCGTCAGAGATTGCGAAATACCAATCCCGCGTCCCTAAACATATCGCGAAGGAAACAAAAATCTCTTTCATCAGCCCTTTATATTGTCCAGGCGCCAATCTCGCCGATCAGCTGGAAATCGGACGACGCCCGCGGCTCTCGTGTGCCGTGTGCGAGGTCGAGGCAGGTCCGGACATGAAGTTGTTCTCCTGTGCTGCATGCTCAGGTATGTACCTGCTTTAAATTCACCTCTTACCGACGCTCACTCAAACAGGCGTCATGTATTGCTCTGCTGCACACCAGTCGCAAAATTGGCAAGCCCACAAGGCAGATTGTCGTTCTAAAACCGAGAAAATGCCGATTGGGATTCGTCAGAATCCCAAGCAACCTTCCTCCCCCATCGTCAAGATTTTGCTGCCGTTGGACTATCATGATCATTCTGAATCTGGCATGAGACTCGGGAGCAAATTTACCAATTATTTAAACCCTGCGGAGCGCATTAAACCGCCGCGGAAAGCGTATACGAAGCCTCAGCCCGCGAAAACTGTGTATGCGCAGGGCGAGCGGTTCATTCTTCGGGCACGCCACGGTGGTCACGCGGACAGGATGTTTGGCCTTTCGCAGGAGGACCGACGCTCCGGTAAGACCCCAGTTAGTAAGGATAGTAATTCGCAAGCTATGTTGGAGATGGTTATGGGGTATGTTGCAGCAGAATTATTTTCCTGTTTGACTGATCTTCTCGTTCAGCGTCATCCACTTCGTAGACCGGCCGAATAGCTGTGGGATTCTTCTGCAAAAACAGACGGGGATAGTGGGAATGAGCATAGTGATGTCAAATCCGTTCAAGTCTTCAGGCTTTGGGGAAAATCCTTTTGGGAACGTCGACAATACGGCCATTTTTGAAGCCGTGGTCAACATCATCAAGCGCTCTGAGAAGGACAAGGTCTGCTTCTTTCGCGCAGTCCATCTGTCTCGCGTTTACTGATAGTTTCTCAGGCGGAGGCTGCTTATTTCTGGGCAACGCGAAAGGGTGATTGCCTCGAGGTCGATTTAGTAGATCTTCCTGACCAGAGTCTCGGGTGGTAGCAAGTACTCTATCGGACAAGCGGCTCTCGCTTGCAATCTGATGTTTTCGAAAATCTTAGCGACGCAATTTAGAATCATCGCTTGGGCCTCAAGATGTTTTGTTCCGCCAAATGGGCTGACTTGACCTGACAACGCCTTTCCAAACAATAAGAGCGTACCTATTGTGGTACAGAATGTCGTAAGACAACAATGGATGGCCCACACTTGCCCGGTTCTCGCTATTGATCGCGGAGATATAACCTTCGACTGGACCTTTAGCCACAACCTTCGTTGCACCCAACGTCCTCTACTCAATAATATGGATCCTGTCCTTCCCCTCGACTTGGCACGTGTCATTTTCCAACTCGCGGCAGATATGCACTTCACATGCATCCCGGCTCATGCGTGTGGCATGGCGCGTAAAGGCGTGGCAAAGTCATCCAGCCCGATGACACACTAAATACTCATTACTTCGTAGGGCTGAACCGTTTCTCCACCGAGCACTCTACTTGGGCGCGGCCATGAAGGACGGAGCCCGGATCGCAGTCGTCAACGAGGAGCGATCATTTTTTTTAGCGCGACGCGGTTCGCCACCTCTATCTTCATCCCCGCTATTGCCAGGGTCCCCAGACGGTCCTTGCGACCTGCACGCGCTTCGAGTCCCTTGTCCTCCAAAAGGGGTACGACAAGTCCAACGCGTTTCTCCTTCCCTTTATCCTACAGTTCCGCTCACTCAAGCGCCTTCAAGCCGACATCCCGAATCTGCTGCGCCCGCTCCCCCCAAGAGAGCGCGTCGCCGCGTTTGACGCCTTCTCAAACCTCACCCACCTCGAGATGATGCACAACCCCATTCCTACCATCTGTGTTGGCCTCGCGCGCCTGCCGCATTTCGCCCATCTCGCGTTGCAATTCGGCCTTCAGGCGCCTGGGACTCCGCCCCTCTGCGTGAAACCGTTGAAGGACTGCCGCGTTCTGGCCACACTCATGGAGAGGATGGAGGATATATACCGGGAGGGAATACGTCGTCGGGATGGGCCAAGCGGCCAGACTGTCGATACGGCACGAATGCTTGACAACGATGACTTGCGACGAGACTTGCGGTTTGTCCTGGTGACCTTGTCCTTTCGCGGCGCCACGGCGAGAAGCCAGAGGAGTGGTCGAACGCCCTGCGGACTGGCCCGATGCCCCAATTTTGGAGATGCGCAGAAGAGGTTGTGAATGAGCGAATTACGGCTAAATCCGCGAAGGCATTGGGGAATTGCTGATGTATTAGAGGTCGGAGCGTCTTCTATAATCAGATTTTTCTTTTCAAGTCAAAGATCGTGCCACTTGCTTCGTCTCTGGAGCATGTAATCTGCTTGCCGTGTCGCCAGAAGCCAGACATCGACAATCGATACACTCGACCTGGCAGGAAGAGCATTGTATACCAACGGGATAAACTGCCCATGAAGTTGAAATCGGTCAGGAAAGGATTTTCTTCGTCCGCCGTCGCCAGACAGTCCCAACTTGAACATCGCCGAGATGGCCGAGACTCCTTTTTTCTTTGAACATATATCGCCTGATGACTGGCTTTTGTATGGGGTACCAGTTGTCCACCGAATTCGTGGCAACTAACTGGTTGAATAAACGCAGGAGGAAAGCGCTTCCGAGAACAAGCCGAGCATCAATCAAAGCGGCAATCGCAATTACTTCTCTTTTGTCCCAAACCACCTCGTTCCGAGTCATTCTTGCCGTCCAAACTTGGTCGCATTCTCCCCGTCTACCGGGCGTCGCATTTTATCGATGCTGCGTCTCAACTGCTGCATTTCACTTGATTTTGCCGCGTTGCAGTTCGAATTCTTTCTCCTCACTCGAAAAGCGGTAACAACAGCATTCACAGCACCTAAGTAGTCCCTCAAAGGAAGATCTTATTTCGCCTGTTAACGTTTTGCTGATGCTGATGTTAGTGTGATACAGTAATATGGACTCTTCCGGATGGAAAGGCCAACGAATACTGCTTGGAGCAACAACAGTAAGCACCTTAAAGGGTTCCATATACTCACAAACCTTACCACTGGTCTAGTACGATGAAGCTCTATCTTCGACAAGTTTCTCAGAGGCCGCGCATTCATCCCTCGAGACTCGGAGTCGACCCCTCCCGTCGTGGTTCCGTCGCTGTCGCCTTAAATTGTAATCAGAACTTCGTCCGCCAAGTGCCCTTTCTTCCCGGTCACCACTCAATGCATCGCGGCTTCACCTGCTGACTTCACTCCACAGCATCCTTTTGTTGAGAGCTTTTGCGCTATCTCATTACCCGCAAGTGGACAAGCCAGGCGCACCCTCCTTTTCACCTCACCCGACGTTCATTCGTATGCTCGTATGTTCAACCCAGCATAAGACTCGGGATAACTTATCAGCTTCAAGTTGGCGCGGTCCCATCCCGGAACACACAGTGGCCCCAACATGTATTTTGAAGTGACGTTCAACCCACGCCTGGGATTTAGAGCTGCAAGTTGCATCCATGCTGATTTCAACACGCAGACCCAGAGATTAGTAGATGCGATGTCGTTTCGTGATTCGCGGATTCCCCCTTCGATTCGGGGTTGGGGCATTAAATGTCGTTGAGCGCATTTTTTTTTTCCCTCTTCGGCTGATTCTTTTTGTTTTCTTTTCACGCTTGTATTCCGTAGAATCGCTACAAGTGGCGAATAAATTCGAGCGAGCGGTGGTTGAACGTCTCAGAGATGCGCCTCGGAGATTCTGTGAGCTTTCCTCGGTGGGCATGTGTAGCGATGATAATAATAATAATATGCTCAAGGAATCCGATCTACCAAGGCTTTGCAGGAATGCAAGGCATCATGACCCAATAGCATATGTCAGTGCGCCTGCTGACATTTGCGGGGGAAAACAACGTATGCGGGAGGTCCCTGTTCGATTCAGGGTTGGGTTGTTCTTTCCCTGCCTTTTTTCTCACTCACCTGTACGCTTTCTTACTCGGATTTTTCTTTTCTTTTGGTTGCAAATGACGGAAGTGGGGGGTTGAATTATTAACTTAGCATTCCCGACGCAATTGAGGGATGCCTGGATATGCGCGGGATACCTGCTAACTTGTGCGAGGTCGCCAACTTGCCTCCGAGTCGTCAATCCAACAATCTGATACACCAAGTCTTTACAGGGATACAAGGCATCACGACTCAATAGCACAACGGTTAGTGCGCCTGCTAGCATTGAACGGAAGAGAGTGTATGCAGGAGGTCCCTGTTCGATTCGGGGTTGAGTCATTCTTTTACTGGCTTTTTTTTCTCTCTCACCTTTACGCTTTCTGACCCGGAATTTTGTTTTGGTCTCGTTCAAAATACGGAGTGATTCGTTGGACTCGGATATTCCCGGCACAATTTGATACTAATATCCGAATATTTGTGGGATGCTTAACTTGTGTGAGAACGCCAACTTGCCTCAGGCTCGTCAATCTAACAATCTGATGCATCAAGCCTGTGCAGGAATACAGAGCATCCGAGTCATGACCCAATAGCACAAGTCAGTGCGCCTGCCGACATTCAGGAGAAAGACATTGGGCATGCAGGAGGTCCCTGTTCGATTCGGAGTTGGGTCATTTCTCTGGTGTTCTTTCTTTTTTTACTCTCACTCTCACTCTGGCTTCCTGTCTTCTTCTGAATTATCTTTAGAGGGATGTGGAGCATCACGACCCAATAGCACAAGTCAGTGCACCTGCCTGAATTCAGGAGAAAGCGATTGAGTATGCAGGAGGCCCCTGTTCGATTCGGGGTTGGGTCATTTGTTTTCTTTTTCTTTTCGTTCTGGATTTCACTCGTTCTGTATCACAATTATTTCCGCCTTCCTGTCTTCCCTTCCCTACTCAAAGACCAAATGAACTCCACAGGTGGCTGGTTGGATATTTCTGGACCTGGTGGTTGCATATTCCCGGGCCTGCATGCCTCGCCAATCCAACAATCTGATCTATGTACCAGGTCTGTGCAGGGATGCAGAGCATCACGCCCAGTGAAAACGGCACTGAGCCGGATAGAGGGAGATTGAGTGATATCGAGTCTATCGATCTCCCTCGACAAAATCAAGCATACATCGATCTCCCTCGATGAGAAATTGATGGAAATCAAGCGAGATTGAGTGATGTCGAGCGACTGCGAGTCGCTACCTAGATATATTGGTTAATATTGATTACTCTTCGCTACAATCCATTGGTTTTATTGGTTACTTTCAATTGATTCCAGGAGCAAAGAGGGAGAAAGAGATATATATTGAAAATTACTAAAGTGGCTAATGACACACCAAGACCTCCGCCGGACCTCCGTACACCACGCGTACATGGCTGCGAGCACTTTGGAGAAGACCTTGCACTTGAATGACTTGTATTTGCAGCTTGAGCTTGATGATAGGCCAGACTTGATCTTGGGCTTGATATATTCTTGACATCCGAGTCGAGGCTCGAGGAAGACATGCTTGGTGGTGACTTGGGCTTGATCATTTGAGATCGAGATTGAGTTGAGGCTTGAGCTTGAGTTTGAGAGCTTTCGAGGCCAGCCCTTGGCGGTGAGTCGCCGGTGACTTGATGTTATGGACGCAAATTTTCAAGCTTGAAGTCAACTTGAAGCATAGCACAACTTGCACCCCGGGTACGGCAGTCCTACGTGGAGGTCATCACTAAACTGGGAGGCAGAGGGGAGGCAAAGACGAAGGGAACTGAATTGCGGGGGGGAGACATGGAGGGAGAGGGAAAGAAGGTGCCGACAACATCAACCAAGTCGGAAGCGAGCACGTGCGGAAAACTCGGTGTTGATGGATTGGAGTCTCCAGGGAAAACTCTGCTGCATTTTCACCATCCTGACACGCTACCCGAGAGTATGTTGTGAAGGGCTCGCACTCTCTCCATGTCGCTCGATAGAAATTGATAGATATCAAGATTCTCGTCAATATCTCTCTATCCCTCGATCAGGCTCTAGCCGGCTCGGCGCGGTTTTCACTGGGCATCACGACCCAATGGCACAACGGTTAGTGCGCCTGCAACATTTAACACATTGGTCACTGTGTGCAGGAGGTCCTCGTTCGATTCGGGGTAGGGCCATTAATTGTTTGGCATGCTTTTTATTTTATTTTACTCTCACTCTGGCTTTCTGTCTTCTTCTCAATCGTCTCTTCGTTCGTCACTCTTCAATCCGCAACCAAGTGGCATCGGAGACCGATTGCGCCAGTGGAGTGGTGTTCACGGGGGACCCCCTCCCCCACTGCGTAGTCAGGCGGCTCGAATCCATGGTAGTTGTACAGAGGAAGGACATCAAGATCCAATGGCACAGTGGTTAGTGCGCCTGTGTGTCGTTTGATGTCGACCAAGTGTCATGAGGCAGGAGGCTCGCGTTCGATCCGTGGTTGGGTCATTATTAAAAGCTTGCGTACTACTTTTTGTTTGGGTCATTGACATCTTGCATCTTTTTCTTTGTTCTGCTTGCTCGCTTGTTGTGTCTTGCCTTGAGAAAATCGTGGTGGATAAAGTCTGCGATTTGCCGCCGACCCCGGGCCGCCATCCAATCACCTCGCATCTGGCATCATCACACGACCTGGATCAGTGTCATCCGCACGGCGCAGGCAAACAACCTTCTTCCGTGACCCGCTTCCTCCTCGCCGGGTCTCAAGCAAGGCATTTGGGGCTTTACTCGCTGGGTTTTATCGGCGCAAAAAGGATCCAGTATTATATGCGCTTGAATCGGCGTCTAACCCTTTAACTGTAACATGTCGCTCCACTCGCCCTCGCTCGGACCCTCCTCGCCGTCGCCGTCCTCCTCCGCCGTCACCATCCCCATCCCCGGCCGCTCCATCCTCAAGAAACCCCCGCCCGCCCAGACCGGCCTCCTCTCCCGCATCGGCCTCGGCAGCTTCCTGCGCTCCGCCAGCACCCCCTCCTCGTCTGCCCCAACCGCGCAACCCCCCGCGGAGTACGCCGGGGCGCCGGCCAGCGGCGGCGGGAAGGAAAAGGACGAGTCGACGCGCATCCTGAAGCGCGCGCACTTTATCCTGCCCGAGATCGCGGTGGTGTACCCCATCTCGTCCGCCGCGCCGCCGTCCACGCCCACGCTGCGCGAGGAGAAGCGCGCGATTGAGGAGAGGGAAAGGGAGCGCCGCAGAAGGGTCGTAAGGTCGAATCCGCAGGGCGGGGGGTATGCGACTGGGTCGGCGCCGTCGACCCCGGGGCTGGGGAATGGGAATGGGAATGGGAATGGGAGCGACGCGGCGAGCGTGCGGACGGCGAGCACGAATAATAAGGAGAGGGAGAGGGAGGGGGGGCGGGGAGGAGAGCACGTGGTGGTCGATGGACAAGGTGGAGAGCTTCTACCGCGAGTGCTGCGAGGGGTGCCAGGAGGTCCCGGATAAGGGCATATGTGCTGCGTTCAAGGTGCGTTCCAGCCTTTTTTTTGCCAGCGGCGGGTTTGGGGGGGGCGAGGGCGACATTGCGAGCGGCTTTTTTATATAAAAAATTCGATGTGCCGATGCGTCGTCGCGCCCGGTCGATTCTATCCACCATCTATCTACCTATCTACCCACTCCCCTCCCCTCCCCCCCTTCCCCTACCTTACACATTGACTAACCCCCCCTTCCCAAACAGAACACCCCCCCCACCCACCCGCGCGCCGTCTACTTCTCCGGCGTCCAGCTCACGCCCGCGTCCGCCGCCGTCCTCGCGGACGTCCTCAGCATCGAGTGGGGGCCTCAGGAAGGTCGTGTGGAGGGAGTGTGATTTGGAGGAGGGGGTGAGTTTTTTTTTTGGCGTTTTTTGGTTGTTTCTGTCTTCGTTCGTAGTTTTTGTTTTTGGTTTGGGTTTTGGTGGGAAGGGAGGGTGGGTGGGAAAAGGAAGAGGAAGGGGAAGAGGGAGGGTTTGGGGAGGGTTTTGTGGGAAGGGGTTTTTGGAGAGGGAAGGGGGAAAGGGAGGGTCGTGGTGTGCATTTGGAGGGGAGGGCGGGATTTTGGCGTGGAGGCACGATGCGGCGCCGTGTGGTGTGCGCGTCCGTTCCGCCCTTCACGCGTCCTGTGAGCCTCCGAGAGCCGAGACGCCGATGGTGGACGGATTCTGTCCGTCGACGCCACCGACGTGCGACGTACGACGCCGTGTCGTGCGCGTCCAGGTCCAGGCGATGCACATGCACACCCGCCCTCCCGCCCTTCACACGTCCTGCAGGCGCCGAGACGCCGGTGATGGATGGATTGTGTCCGACGCCACCGACGTGCGGCGTACGACGCGACATGCATTCTTTCTTTCTTTCTTTCATCCTTTTTTTTTTTGGAGGGGTCGGGGGCCGACGTGCGCCGTGCGCCATGCGGTGGTCGGCGTCCCCCCACCCCCCCTCCCCTCTTTTCTTTTCCCTTCTCCCCCCCTCTCTCCGCCTTCTTACACCTGCCGCCCACTAACCCCCCCGTTTCACAGACCCTCAAACCCCTCCTCCACGCGCTCCTCATCCCGCGCTCGCTCGAAGTGCTCAGCCTCGCCGCGAACAGGAGGCTCAAGGGGGGCGCGTGGCGCGTGCTGGGGGCGTATTTGGGAAAGGTGCGTTTTTTTTCTACATATCTATATATTGGTTTTGGGGGTTGAGTGGGGGTGGGGAGGGGGTGAGTGGTGGAGGCGGAGAGGCGGAGAGGCGCGATGTCGATATCGATATCGGCGTCGGTCGTGCGCGCGCTGGGGGAGACGCGAGGGGGTGGCGACGACGATGCTCGTGTGCTGTCGGCGGGGTTCGCGTACCCGTCGAGGAGGGTGGGCGGTATGCGCGCTGGTGGTGTGGAGGACGCGCGGTGGTGTGGTGGACGCGCCGAGGATCTGTGCCTGCCGCAGGCGAGACAAGCATGTATCGATGCGGGATGCCGATATCCGTCGGTTGGCGGTGGCACACGACCATGGGCACGGGCATGGATGCTCAGATGTCGGTGTCGTGCACGGCTTCTGGTGCGCTTGCGCTGGCAGGCGATAGTGCAGCGTAGGCGTCTTCGCGGCGTTGATTGCGCCGGTCCTGCAGGCGCTCGTCTCCCTCTCTTCCCCTCCCCCTCCCCCCCTTCCCCCCTCCCCTCCTTCGCCCCCCCTCCTCCGTTCGCTAACCCCACTCTCCTCACCCCCCAGGCCCACACCCTCACCTTCCTCGACCTCTCCTCCAACACGCTCGACAAAAAGGCCGTCGAGTGCATCGTGGGCGCGCTGGTGGAGTATGTGCCCGTTGAGCAGCGGTGAGTTTTTTTTTGGTTTGGAGGGGAGCGCGTCTGACGATCGCGTACCCTCTCCATTCGCTTTCACCTCTCTACACAAACCTCATACTGATACTCGTCCCCAGCACAACCTCCTCCGCCGCATCCTTCATCTCGATATCCGACTCGGCCTCGGTCGACAGCCGGGACTCCTCCTCCACCTCCAACAACTACTCCACCCCGTCGACGACCTCGTACATGAACGGCAGCGAGGTGCGCTACAGCCTCGGCTACGCGCTGGACGACAAGGACAAGGACGCGCGGGATAGGGAGGGGCGGGAGCGCAAGGGGCTCGTGTCGCTGAAGCTGGATGACTGTGGCCTGCGCGCGGCGGCGTTGGAGACGTTGTGTGCGTGCTGCGTCCTGCCTTCCCCTCAATGAGCTTATTATACTAACTAAAATGTGGCTATGCGCAGCGCGCGCCGTGCGCACGTCCACGCTGCGCAACATCTCCCTGCGGCACAACAAGATCTCGCCCACGGGCGCCGTCGCGCTCGCGCTCATGATCCGCGACTACCCCGACGTCCTCGCCACCCCCGCCGCCTCTTCTTCCTCCCCCGGCTCCTCTGCGTTCCTCGCGAACAGCTACAGCCACGCGCACGCGCACAACGGCTCCGTGCCCCCCAGCCCCACGCTCGCGGCGCACCACCTCGACCACCTGCGCGAGCACCACCGGCCGCAGACGCACAGCGGCGGCGGCAGCGGCAGCGCCTCGCCCGTGCTCCCCACGGGCCCCAGCTCGGGGATCGGGCTCGGGCTCGGCGGGCTGGGCGCGCTCAACAGCAGCCTCGCGGCGCACTCGCACTCGCAGCAGCAGGGCGGGAAGCCGCCGCCGCCGCCGCGCCACCCGGCGCAGACGATCACGGCCGCGCAGACGACGTACACGCCGTACGTGCCGCGCCGGCGGCAGCAGTCCACGAACGCCAACGCCGGCGCTGGTTTGGGCGTGGGCGCGGGAGCGGCGCCGCCGGGAAGGGCGGTGGTGGCGAGCAGTGTGTTGGGCGGGGTGACGGCGCGGCATGTGCCGTCGTCGCCCGCGTCGTCGGTGTATGGCGGGGTGGATAGAGAGCGGGAGGCGCGGGAGGCGAAGGAGCGGGAGGCGGCGGCGCGGGAGCGGGAGCGCGATGGGCCGAGCGCGGCGCTTTTGGACAAGGTGCGGGCGTTGGATGCGTTGCCGCGGGTGGGCGCGTTGCGGACGTTGGATCTGCGAGGGAACGATTTGCGGGTGCGTCGTTGCGCCTTTCCTTCTTATCTGAGAATAGGGAGAGCTGACTTGTTTTTTTGGCAGACGGGCATCACGTACATCGCGCAGGTGCTGAAGCGGAATCGGACGCTCAAGGTGCTGAATCTGGCGGAGAACAAGCTGGATGTGGCGTGTCTCGTCAGTTTGGCGGAGGCGTTGGTGGGTCTTGCTTCCCTTCCTCCCTTGGAAGACAAGATGCTGACATTCGGCGCAGAAATACAATTCAAGTCTCGAGACGCTCGACCTGTCGCGGAACCCGTGTTCGGGGCCGGGGCTGGAGGGCGTACGTCTCCTTCCCTTCCTTTAAAACACCGCGATTTACGTGCTACGTCCTAGATCCAATCCCTCCGCACGGCCTTTACCCTCAACACCGCGCTCAAGCGGCTCTTCCTCTCCGCGACCGGCATGGGCTCCCCCGGCGCCATCGCCCTCGCGGAGTTCCTCCCCGAGTCCGCGTCCCTCCTGCACCTCGACCTCACGGAGAACGCCCTCGGCGTCGCGGGCGTGCTCGCCCTCTCCAAGGGCATCGCGGCCAACTTTGTCATGCGGTGCCTCGACCTGAACATCCCGCCGGGCGACGAGGAGTTTGCGCGGATGTGCCGCGATATATTGAATGCGTGTGTGCGGAACACGGAGGCGGCGGAGCGCGTCGCGGGGGCGCGGGAGCGGGAGAAGGCGGGCGGGGGGGAGTCGGGGGCGCAGACGCCCGTGGGGAATGGGCACATGCTGGGGATTAGCACGGGGGTGAATGGGAGTGCGGGCGGGGGGCTGTCGAGCCTTGGGAGCGGGCGCGGGCAGGGCAGGGGCGTGTGGGGGATGATCGAGGAGAGCGAGCTGGCGAAGAGCATACGCCTCGATGAGGAGAAGAAGGTGGGCCTGCGTTTTTGCTATCCGATGAAGGTGTCTAAT